TGGAAAGTTAACTCCTCCCAGACATCCCCACTGCCCTGGCAACTTCATGCCTTAGGATCTAAGGCCTGGGAAAGAGGACTCCCACTTGCAGAGGGTTGCTATTAGGAACAGCCTTCCTAGTCAAGAGTTTCTTTTCATGGATTAGGGGTTATTCACTATTATGTGGTGTTAGGGATGGAACCTAGTACTAGACACATACTTTTATCCCCAGTCTTGGGCTTGAGAATGTATATTTATAAGCCTCTGGGAACTGGAAGGTGTCTGGAGTGTGGGACAAGTCTCTACTACAATAGAACGGTTGGAATTGTGGATGAGCCCCTCCTGCTCCTGAAACACAGCACCAGCAAGACAAAATGCTGACCTATGGGTCTTTGTAACCTTGACCAGCTTAAGGCTTTTCAGAAAGGAATGTGAGGGGCTGGGACCTCAGAGAGGCATCCTAGACCAACCCTGCCCCGTTTCCTATTCCTCCTTCCTAGGGTTCCAGGAAAGCTGGGGTGCTTGTAGAAAATAGGTGAAAAGATGGCTTTTTTTTTTTTTTTTTAATTTGGAGTGCTGGTGTGGCACCAGGGAAGAACCATAGCCATTCTTGTGAGACCACCACAGAGGCTTAGTAGTGAGGACACGAACTTGGTTTGAGGGCTGGGAAATAATGCTTGAACCCTTTACCCATGTCTCACACAATGTGTGCACCTCCAGACATACAAGGGTGCGCATTGAGATAGGTGCTTTCAGAGTGGCTGGAGAATGCCTCGGGAGCCTGGTCCAGGTACAGGATCAATGTATGTTAAAAAGGGAACCCCAGCATCATACTTCCTTTGGGAGCCCTCGGCCCTTGTCTCATTCCACCCCCGGTCCAGCTCATGCTTCTCCCATTGCAGCCTCTGGGGACACTGCCATGCCAAATTCCCCGTGACTGCTCTGCTACTGGTAACTGTGTGAGCCTTAGCCCACTGTCCTGGGATGGTCAGTCCATGTGCCAGTGTCCCTGTCTATAAGGTGGGGTGTCCAGCACAAGGTGGCTGGGGGTGGGCCTGTCCTGTCCTAGGCTGTGACGAGTACCAGGGCCTGCCGCCCAGCGTTCCTGTCTGAGTGGTAATTGAAGCCATTAGCGCGCCAGCCTCTCCCTCGCCGGGTAATGGCAGGAAAAGCTCTTCTCGCTCCGCACTCTTGAGGCGGTGGCTGAATCATTCCCCCTCCAACCCGCCCGCTGCCGCCACTGAGACAGGGAATCTGACATTTTCCCTCACGAGGGGTGGGGGAGGGGAGTCAGGCCTTGATTCTGGGCTTTCCCTTCAAAGGTGGTGGTGGTGGGGGATAGTAAGGATGTTGAGCTCAGTTTGGAGGTCATAGAGTCCCCAAGGGGTTGCAGAGTCCAGGCCAGGCGGAACCATGGTTGGGGAACACCCTAGGGGGAGGCTGAACAGCCAAAGGTATAGGTGGAGCCTTAGTAACTGGGTAGGTTCTGGAAGGGACACAGAATGCCCAGAGGAAGATGGGGAATCATCTTCCTGGGAATCATCGGGCTGTGAGCTGATTAGACTGTTTCTGACTTGTCCTGGGGGCCAGGCTCAGGGACTTTGTGTTTTCGTGGACAAAGCAGATGGTGTGCTTACAGTGGTGTGAACATGTGTGTGAATGAGGAGTGGGCCTCATACCAAAGGAGTTGTATAGCGGGATCTGTGCATGCGTGTGCCTCAGGCAGTGGGGGAGGGGCATGTGTAAGCAGGTGGTGTGTACTTTATGGGCTACGTGTGCATCAGGATGTGTACACACGCACATGTGCACAGCAGGCAGTATCTGGATTGTGGTGGTATAGAGTATGTGTGTGTGACACAAGGTTTACAGCATGTGGTATTATACCTTAGCTTTGTGAATAGCAAGAGAGTTGGCGGCCTGAGCTGGGTGAGCTGGATGTATAGGGTCAGTCTGGTGCTGGTGGGAAGTCAGGGGTGTCATATTCAGATACGTCGTCTCTGGGATGCCACCGAGTCTCTGCTTTGATCTGTCGGGCAGTGATGGATGCTGGGCAGCCTGGTGATCTAAAGTATTATTGGCATCTGCCGCAGTGGCATCTTGGCAGTTCCTATAACCAAGCCAAGAGGAAGGCACACTGGATGAGTCCTGACTAAACGTGGCTTTCGGAGGCTTTAGGACCTCTCCTTTCTTCCCCACTTCCCACCTGGCCCTCTTGGCCTTCTACCTGCTTCCCTCTGGCCCCTGTGTCTTCTAAGTGGGCAGGGCTGTGTCTCCTTTGCCACTTGGCCCAGGGATCCAGCTAGAGTGTCTAACATTGCCCACCTGGCGAGGCCAGGGTCAGAGCTAGTTCCAGGACAGGCACCAAAGCCACAGAGAAACCCTGTCTCGAAAAAACCATAAAAAAAAAAAAAAAAAAAAGACACACACACAGTGTGATGAGCAAACTATGACCTGTCCCTTGGTGTCCTGCCTGGGTCGGATGAGAATATGCTTTCCCAGGGAGCCATCTTTCCCTGCCCTAAACCTTTCTGTTCTCTTCACTCATGGTAGAAAGATTAAGGTAACGAGCTACCATAGAAAGTCCCAAATCTGGAAGCCCAGATAGCCTTGTTCTCTCCTGGCAGCAATGGCACTGCCTGCCGCTGGCCCAGCAACCGTTGGGACCTGACCTCAATTCCCTGTGACCACGTAGATTTCAGGGCCATGCAGATATGAAGTGCTGTAGCTGAACTTTGGAGGTTTGGGCCCCATTTTGAGATGGTAGGAAGGCACTGTTGGAATGGAGCAGAAGTACGCGCTCTGGAAGGTCAGGCCCTGGGTTTCTGGGTCCCTGGAATCCTCTCGTCTTTTCCAGTTCTGGTAGTCTTCAAGGACCCCGGTGAACTTTTTTTTTTTAATGGATTCTCCTGTGGTATGGGGTTATCTCTGTTAGTGGTGTACATAGAACTTCCCCTATGCCTAAGCTAGTTCTCAATCACTGTGGTCACAGGTGGCTCTCAGGCCTGTTTTGTGCTTACTGTTCTTTGCCCTGGCTTGTGACCCTGGATGTATAGTCTTCATCCTTGATAAGGTGTCCTCACCCTGGCTGCCCAGGGAAGGAAAGGCTTAGGGGCAATGGCGTCACCAGATTCACGTTTCATAGAAGTCCTTGGTGCAAAGTGGGGTGGGAGTGTTTCCCAGCAGTGGGGGGAAGATATGGTTAGGCAAGAGAGCTTTGCCCTGAACCTTGTTGTGAGTAGAGGAGAAAGGGAGAGAGATCAAGAGCATGCTAGGTGGCATTCTGCCAGCTGCCTCGCTCTGAGAGCCAAGGTAGCTCTGGGTTCCTGGTTCCAGGCCTAGGTAGATGGTGGGACCACTTTCTAAGAGTAGGCCCAGGTCTGAGAGGGTGAGTTGAAAATTGCCAAGTCGGTTGTGTGTGGACATCCAGGGAAAGATGTGGAGAAGGCCTGGTATGGCCTTGCCTGGCCCCCTTGAGGGGCAGCTGGAGATGGAATCATTGTAAAGCCAAGAAGCCAAGGCAGAAGAATCTCCAGGAACTGACTTTAGCTGTTGGGAGGAGCTTCCTTGGGAGATAAGAGGGGAGCCAGGAATAAGGGAGGCAATGGAAGTTGATGAAGGAGTGTGAAGGAGGTGCCCAAGCAAGATAAGCATTGGGCAGTGAGTGTCCTTTGGATTTAGCTCTGGAGTTGCCGCTGACCTTGGCTAGCACCCTCAAGAAGGGGCGGGGGTGGCAGCAAGGCTGTCAGTGGTCTGAAGTGACTGGGAGCAAGGCTTGAACCTAGAGAGGTAAATGGTTAAAAAGAATATTCATGGAGCAGAACCCAGCATAGCCAGAGCCAGGAACTAAAATGTGGGGACCAGGGTTTACTGAGTATGCACGATGGGGAGGCCTCACCTGCCAGGTTGAGTAGGACGATGTGGAGTGCCAGGGAAGCCCAGGGGAGGGGGGATTACTGAGAGAAGGAGGCCTGGCTGCCGACAGGCCCCAAACAGCTCAGACTCAAAAACAAAACAGGCTTTTAAGATGCCAAGTTTGATGAAATCTGAGTGCTAGAAGAGGTGGGAGTTTCTCTTGGAAAAACAGCTGAATGTCGAGACTGAAAGCTGCGAAGGGAGATGGGCCCTGGGGCCCCTCAGGCCCCCCTCACTGCCTGGGAACTTGGGGGTGGGGTGCGGCTAGGCCCTGAGAATGAGAACTTACAGGTTTGGGAGGGCTTGCTGTCTTGACCCTGTCTTCGCCAAAGATGGAACTGCCTTGGGGACAGGACTGAGGTGGCCTTGGGCTTCCTTGGAGTGCCTGAATGGCAGGGTGGGGTCTGGCCACCCACAGAGAGGTTCCTGCATGGTCTTTGCCTGTGTCCCCAGGTGCATGCATCTTAGCATATGTGTCTCTCTGACGTTGCATCTCTTCCCATTTGTGTTCCGTATCTCTGCGCATACCGCCTCTGGATCTGCTTGCAGGAGTCTGTTTCCACAGGTGCTTGTCACTGCGGATGCCCTTCTATATGCACATGGAGGCTTCTATTTTTGCACCTGTCTCTTTCTCCATGTAGTTCTCTAGGTCCCTGGCTGTGCATGTTTCTAAGGTGTCTGTGTGTTCAGGGACAGGGTGATATGCCCGTGCATAGAGGAGGGGTCAGCCGCACAGACGGTACCACCCCAGGGAGCCTGGATATGTGCATGCGCATATGTGCCTGTATTCAGAGATGCCATGAAGCTGGGTAAACACGGGTGAAGAGGTCTCACTGACAGACGGTGCTGGTGCTTGCCCCTACCTTCCCCCCCTCCCCTCTAAAGCATCTCCATCTGTTAGCTTCCCTGGTGCAGCCCCCAGCCTCTGGCCCAGACTCCGCCCCAAACATCCCAGGCTGAGCTGGACAAAGAGACCTGTGTGTGTTCTCTAGGGCCCTTCAGCAGCCTCCCTCCTCCCCCCAGTCATTGTAACTTGTTGGTCTAAACTTCTCCACCCACCCCTCCCCATCCTCATCTCTCAGAACTCCAGTGCATACCCGCAGACTCACCTTGCTATTTATTGTCCCTCCATCCTCCTTAGAGTCTTTACTCAGGCAGTGCGCAAGGGAAGCTTTCTGCCTTCTGTGCACATTCTTGATCCTCCTTCCTCCAGGAAGTCACCAAGATAGCAGGTGAGAGGTGGAGTCACACTGATTAGTTAGTTCTTCTGCTGAAGGACCTAAAGCCCGCTCCCTGCTCCCCCATCCTTAGACACGCCCTGCCACATGCCCTCTCATCTCTGAGACAACCAAGACCTCTCCAGGGAAGGGCTTAGGGTCTCCCAAGTACAGTATTTAAAGGGTAGCGCAGTTGGGTGCAGGAGCCATTCATGAATACTTGAATGCTCACTGTAAGTGCACAGATCTGTTCGGGTGGGGCAGACTTTCGATTATGTGTGGAGACTGTCCAGGCTTAAGCTACCGGGTTGGTACCTTTTCAAAGTCCCGCGAAGCCTCAGTGGGCTTCTCTTTCTGTTTGGGGACCCTAGGTGCAGTGGAGGGTCTGGCTGACACTGCGGACTATATATGCAGAGGCAACTTACAGCCTATTGCACTGTGCTGACCCTGGCAGGCGGGAGCTGGGGGCGCTGCGTTGGTGGAGCTGGAATGCCTAAGGGGGGAACGTCCGCCGCCCCCCCCCCCAGCAGGGTCCGGGGTGGAGGCGCGGCTGCCCCGCCCAGGCGGGGGCGGGAAGGGCGGTGCCCAGAAGGACTTGGACACAGAGGCGCGCGCCCGCTCGGACACAAGCACGCGCAGCCCTTCCACCGTGGCACCCGCCTCTCCACCGTCGTCATGGTTACCGGGTGGCCTGGAGGGGGGAGGGGCCCTCCCGCGCCATCAGCCCCTGTACTGGCAGGACACGTTTGGAGGGTCTATAGCGTGACCCGTGCATCCCTCCTTTGGAACGTGGGTGCATGCAGGGGTGTTCACATGTGGGGAGCAGTGGACTTATCTTCGTAGCACCTGAAAACGCAGGGGCGTGTGTGCATGGGGGGGGGGCTGCAGTGAAGCCGGAAGTCAGTTGAAGGTGTAGAAATGGGAAAGGGCGTGGTTCCCCCAGTGATGCCCCTCCCTTCCCTCAGCCCTGACCTGCCCACCTTTTCGCGCTTGCGTCTGAAGCTCTAAAGCACTGGGGTCTTAGCAGGGCTTTCCTCCAAGCCCCACCCCCAGTTTAACTGAGTGACCTTGGGCGGGTTTCTAGATTTCTGCCAAGTCCCCATTTGCTCATATGCCTCATAAGGTTTTGGTAAAGATTGTCATTTTGTAAAGCTTTTAGAGAGTACCTGCAACAGAGTGAATGCTTCATGCTTGGAACCTTTTATCCCTGGTGTCCAGAGGCCTCAGTTTTCTCAGTTGTTGATGGGTTGGAAGTGACAGTGACATCCTCTTGAGAAATCTGCCTTGATCATTAACCTGTGCGGTTCACACTCCTCTAGACACGGCTGTGGTGGCACTGGGGGGTGACGGTGGCAAGTGTGCCAATCGTGCTGGCCCACATGGAGCCAGTCGCTCAACAGGCATCTGGGAAATATCTATTGTCCTTAACTGGTGTGAATATGCTTAAGGCTCCCAGTTGGAAGAGGAGGATGAAATAGCATCTGGTCAGTCCTGAGGGGCTGGAGTCCTCCTGAGAAACTCACACACACTGCTGGGCGGGGGTGGGGGAGAGCAGCCTTTCCATTACTGCCTGGGAGCCTAGTTGGCACACGGGACTGGCGTTTGGGCCCTGCTATTCAGTAGACAGCTCTTTACACTCACTGGTTTTAGGCTTTGGCAGTGGTGCCTGAGGGATGATCTGAGCCAAGGACGAGCCATTTGAGGGCGTGATAATTGAGGGAGGAAAATTAATTGTCCTTAATTTGGCATAGGTCCCAAAGACCTTCCCTGTGTCAAGAATTCAGAGTAGATTCCTGGGACACGGGGCTGAAGCATTTGTATTGCTTTCATCCTTGGTCCTTACCTCCTGGCAGTAGGCGACAGAGGCTAGGTAACTCCTGGGCTATGGCTCTCTCAGAACCTAGTCACCCCTCACCCTGCACCCCATTCGCTCAAGCAGGTAGGCATAAAATCTGGGAAGAGCAAGTTTGGTGCCCTGGCCAGTGAGTAGCTCTAGCAGTCTTGAGCATCCCCAACTGTTGGAAGGGGTGGGGAGGGTGCCCCTAGGCCTTGGGTCTTGCTATCAATCTTGCTTGCAATCTTCCAGTTGATAGCAGGCCAAAGAAGCTGCACACACGCAGCTCTCTCTGTTCTCTTGCCTGTGTTTAATATAATCCTTTTCAAGAATCAGAGTGGAGAGTCAGGGCACTGTGAGATCGTAGTTATAGCCAAGGACACCCAGTGTTTACATTCAGAACTTACAGGACTGTGAGCAGGGGTGTGTATAGCCAGTTCCAGGGAAGTCAGGGGCCATACTGAGAGTTCTCCTGTGCCCCAGCCAGACACTCTTCTGGGATATCCCTAAAAGTTGCAATTTTTTTGTTGTTGTTGTTTTGTTTTGTTTTGCTTTTTTTTTGGGGGGGGGGACAGGGTTTCTGTGTAACAATTCTGGCTATACTGGAACTCACTTTGTAAATCAGGCTGGCCTTGAGAGATCTGCCTGCCTCTGCCTCCCAAATGCTGGGATTAAAGGCGTGCGGCACCACATCCTGGCTAGAAGTTGCAGCTTTAATGAGGTTCCTCTGCCTACTGTGGTTCTTCCAGCTTCCTCTCATGTCTGAGCCCCTAATTGTCCCCCCGTAGGTCTCCAGAGTGAGAGGGGAAAGCTGGTGTTGCCACCTGCCCTTTACTTTTCTCCCTTTTGAGGCTGAGTCTCTCTAGCATGGGAGCCTGGCCTCAACAAATGTTCTCACACAGTAATGCTGTGCTGGGCATGCGAGAGGGAAATGCAGAGTTGTGCCGCTTTTCCCCACTGCAAGGCCCTATTTTGCAAAAGGTAGACAAAGGGCAGACATTCCCAGAGCCTTCATTGAGAACCAAGCCTGGGAGAGGAGAGGGATTGCTGAGTTCTAGAGAACACTCGATGGTTGTGTTCCAGTGGGAAGGACTTCTTACCAATCTAGAATGAAAGGGGCCTCAGGCTATAGTTTCAGTACCTGAACCACCTGTTCTATATGGGTGGTTCTGGGTGCAGGTCCTGTATCAGGTACTCCCCAGTGCCCTGATGAAGTCTTTAAAGTATCTTTACATAGTGGACACCTAACCCCAGTAGACAGATGGAAAACAGAGAGTAAAGAGCACATACGGGCCCTAAAGATGGTAGGTAGTGGTGGAGATGGGAGTTCCCCATGGTCTACACTGGTCCAGCGCCTGGCTTCCCAGTTCTTGATGCTTCTGAGAGATGGAGATTGGGTAGCTTTGCCTCAGTCCATGAGGGCTGCTTTAGGAACCTGTATGAGGCAAGAATAGGCCTTGTGCAAGTGATTTCCTCTGGGAGTCACCAGCTCCAGGAAAAGTGGAGAGGAAAAACCAGGGCTATTTGTTTGTTTTATTTCGGTCGCCTTAGCCGGCACATACTCAGACTTGGTCCTTAGGGCCTGGTCATGGTCGTCAGGGTCAGGTTTGAGTGAGAAAGAAGGGCAAGGGTCAAGGCTGCAGCAGAGAATGGTCAGAGGCAAGACTCTAGAGTTAGGTCATTAAGAGGACAGGTGCCAGGGTCAGTGACCTGGGGCCCTGCCACATGGAGGATCTGAAGGGATGCAGGCCAAGCAGGGATATCACGTGCTGACAAGGAAGTGGAGGCTGGATGAGCTCAGAGCCACTAGTGGGGTTGTGGCTCTTGGTGCTTTGGGAGCTGTATCGCCCTTGCCGCCCCTGCTGCCCCTGCTCCCCCACGCCCAGTGTCCACATAGCACTCTGTGCTGCAGCCAGCAGAGCATTGATCTCTGTTCTTCCCAGGACCTACAGAGATAAGTGCTGACGTCTTCAGTCTGTGCTTCCCAGACTTGGAAACTCCCCAGCAGGGATGTGATAGTGCGGGCCCTCCTGCAGCCTCTGCCTTGCCAAAAGGACTTAGGTCTCTTGACTCCTCTTTTGGGGTAGGGCTCGTGCTTAGAAGTCAGGGGTGGAAAAGAGAAGGGTATTGTGGGTCAGGTTCTAACCTGAAAGTCAGAAGCAGCTACAGGGAGGCCTTCAGGGGCAACAGGGCCAGTCCTAATGCACATGCCACCCTTTGTCTGCAGAGGACCAGCTGCCGGCTGGGTTCCCGACCATCGACATGGGACCTCAGCTGAAGGTGGTGGAGAAGGCTCGTACGGCCACCATGCTGTGTGCAGCTGGTGGGAATCCAGACCCTGAGATCTCCTGGTTCAAAGACTTCCTTCCTGTGGACCCTACTTTAAGCAACGGCCGCATCAAGCAGCTACGCTCAGGTGAGCTGAGGGCAGAGTTTAGGAGCCATGAGTACCATGGGGAATTCATGGGGATGGGGAGTGAACGTTCCGAGGCAGACTGAGTAGTGTCCCCAATGTCGTGGACCAGATCTTGCCTTGGGAAGAAGATGCAGTGGCAAGTGCTGTCCTGGTCATTCCGGGATTGTTAGATGCCAGGGTCGGTTTCTCCTCCAAGCATGACAGGCCTGAGGAGGGCGCCCCTGGATTTTCATCTTCTGCTTTTCCATAGCCCACCTACGTCCGTGTTTTTCTAGGCAGCAAGGTTTTCTGGGGAAGGAGCCAGTGATGCTTGATTCATCAGGCATCAAATGAACCTTAAGAGCCTGAAACTAGGGGGATTTGCCTCTGTCCTTTGGCCACCAGAGCCACCTGTCTCCTGTGGATGTCTCAGTTGAGCCACCTTGGAGCCCTGGGAACAAGGATGCCACTGTGACCAGGAGGGAGGTGTCGCCCCATTGATCGATCTGCCTGTGAGGCTCCCGCCAAGAAAATTGATTCTGATTTTGTGGGTATGGAGTGGGTGGGAAAGGAGGATCAGAGTCAGCTGGGCTGCATGCTACATCCGCTAGCAGCTCAGGATAGACCCTCAGACTCTGCTCCAGAAGTCCTGCTGGTTGTTGGTAGCCCAGCTTTGGTTTGAGCTCCTGCTGCCCATCAGCTGTGATGTCAACATCATGAAGGATGTAACTACCTCTTTGGGGTCTCTGCTGGCTTCAGGGGTGCCTACCACTCTCAGCCCCCCCCCCCATCATCTTCCATCAGGCCCACACCGTCTTGGTGCCAGGGAGAAAAGGGAGTGATGAGCCCCCCAGCAGGGCAGGGTTCCGGCCCCAGCCACGGCCGCCTGAGACAG